TAAACGAATCTTCCCTTAGAACAATCACATTCTCCCATAGATGATTTCTGTAACGAGAGAGCCCATGGATCAGCCCATAAAGGGAACAGTCACAAATGGCAAGGCTTATCTTTTGTACCAGCCTCTGCTCATACAGTCATATTCTAGAGGACATACAAATTAAGTTGCAAAACATCTGTTATCATGTATATGACTCATAAATTCGTATTCTCAACACAAACCTTTACTTCGTCTTCCTTCTAGAGCTCTATACCCAGCTGTCCATTTGGCAATTTCTCTTTATTTCTTTTAATGTATATGAAATTGAATCTAATTGAACACCTTTTTTCCTTCAAATAGAATGTCTTCTTTCAGCCTTTCCTACATCACTATGTAGCCATACCATCAGAAACAATGCTTATACCAGACACATAATAACTCACACTTGATGTCAGAACAAGTACTGATGATTTCACTCTCTTAATTGATTCATTCCATCCATCTTCACCACAACCATTACATCAATTCCATCACAGCCATCCAGTGAGTGAAAAACACCCTGTAAATGCTGACTTGTTCCCATGGAGTCTCCCAGCAGTACACTAGTGAGCTTTTCAAAATGACCACATCAACCTTTCACATCTTCAATGGTTACCCAACACATTCAAAGTAAAACTTCCATTAACATCACCTAGAAAATCTCATAAATTTCCCCAAACTTCGTAAGAGTATTCAATTCCCTTTTCATCCAGTCCCTCTAACTTGCTTTTTAAGCCTGGCCAAAGGCTTTTGCAGGCATTGCTGTCATCGATTCTAAAGCCCACTACACTCCACTTACTCTAATTTTCACTTACTCAGAACTGAGAATTCAGCTTCAATGTTCCCTCTTCAAAAGTATATTTGCTGACCTCCCTAAATAAATCACTCAGTGATGGGCACATGGACAACATGGGCCTTTTTCATAGTACTTCTTGTAAATATAGTTTTATAATAACATACCATGATTGGCAAAGCAGTCTTTGCCATATAAAGTAAAGCAAACTTTATATGGCAAAATTGTGTCTGATTTTACTAACATTATATCCAAGCATTTAGCACTATGTGTAACACATTGTTGCACATTAAATGTTTATTAAATGTTTAATGCTTTAAAAAATAGCCTACACAGATACATAGTAAAAAAAGAAGAAGAAAAAAGGAGAGGAGAGAAAGAAGGGAAGATGGGAGGATTGAAGGAAGAAATAGAAAAGGAGAGCGGTAAGAAGTCAATTCATAGAAAGGGAAATTGAATACAATTCTTGAATATTCACATTCACTTGAATTCGTATTTTACAAATTACTTGCAGGTATATTTTCAAAATTCTCTCTTTTTATAACTGATCGTCACTCCACCAAATAAGACCAAATCAAGTCTGGATCTCATATATAGCTTTTATAATGTTGAGGAACTTTCCTTCTATTCCTAGTTTTCTTAGAGCTTTTATCATGAAATGATGTTGGATCTTATCAAAGGCTTTTTCTGCATCTATTGAGATGATCAAGTGGTTTTTGTCTTTGCTTCTGTTAATGTGGTTTATTACGTTTATTGATTTTCGTATGTTGAACCACCCCTGCATCCCTGGGATGAAGCCTTCTTGGTCGTGGTGAATGATCTTTTTGATGTGTTGTTGAATTCGTTTGCCATTATTTTGTTTAGGATTTTTGCATCAGTGTTCATTAAGGAGATTGGCCTATAGTTCTCCTTTTTGGAGGTGCCTTTGCCTGGTTTTGGGATAAGTTTAATACTGGCTTCATAAAATGTTTTAAGCAGTTTTCCTTCCCTTTCTATTTCATGGAACAGTTTAAGGAGAATTGGTATCAGATCTTCTTTAAAAGTCTGATAGAATTCAGCAGAGAATTTATCAGGTCCTGGACTTTTCTTTTTGGGGAGACTCTTGGTTGCTGCTTCAATTTCATTTTGTGTTATAGATCTATTCAGGTGATTAATTTCCTCTTGGTTCACTTTTAGATGATCCTAAGTATCTAGAAATCTGTCCATTTCTTTAAGATTTTCAAATTTATTTGAATATAGGTTCTCGAAGTAGTCTCTGATGATTTCCTGGACTTCAATGTTTTTTGTTGTCTCCCCTTTTGCATTCCTGATTCTACTAATTTGGGTTTTTTCTCTCCTCATTTTAGTCAGGTTTGCCAGGGGTCTTTCAATCTTGTTTATGTTTTCAAAGAACCAACTTTTGGTTTCATTAATATTTTGTATGGTTTTATTGGTTTCTATTTCATTGATTTCAGCTCTTATTTTTATTATTTCTCTGCTTCTATTTGTTTTGTACCTACAGCCAGCATTATACTTAATGGAGAAAAACTGAAACCATTCCCTCTAAAATCAGGAACCAGACAAGGATGCCCACTATCTCCACTCCTACTCAACATAGTACTGGAATTCCTAGCCAGAGCAATTAGGCTAGAAGAAGAAATAAAAGGAATACAAATAGGTAAAGAAACTGTCAAAATATCCCTATTTGCAGATGACATGATCCTATACCTTAAAGACCCAAAAATCTCTACTCAAAAGCCCCTAGACACCATCAATAGCTATAGCAAGGTAGCAGGATATAAAATCAACGTAGAAAAATCATTAGCATTTCTATACACTAATAATGAAGAAACTGAGAAAGAATATATGAAAACAATTCCATTTACAATAGCCTCAAACAAAATCAAATACCTAGGTGTAAACGTAACAAAGGATGTGAATGACCTCTTACAAGGAAAACTATAAACTTCTAAAAAAAGAGATCGAGGAAGACTATAGAAAGTGGAGAGATCTCCCATGCTCATGGATTGGTAGAATTAACATAGTAAAAATGTCGATACTCCCCAAAGTAATCTACATGTTTAATGCAATTACCATCAAAATTCCAATGACATTCATTAAAGAGATTGAAAAATCTACTGTTAAATTTATATGGAAATACAAGAGGCCATTAATAGCCAAGGCAATACTCAGTCAAAAGAACAATGCTGGAGGTATCACAATACCCGATTTCAAAGTATATTACAAAGCAATAACAATAAAAACAGCATGGTACTGGCACAAAAGCAGACATGAAGACCAGTGGAACAGAATAGAGGACTCAGATATGAAGCCACACAGCTATAACCAACTTGTCTTTGACAAAGGAGCTAAAAATATACAATGGAGAAATAGCAGCCTCTTCAATAAAAACTGCTGGGAAAACCGGTTTGCAGTCTTCAAAAAACTGAAACTAGATCCATATATATCACCCTATACCAATATTAACTCAAAATGGATCAAGGATCTTAATATCAGACCCCAAACTCTAAAGTTGGTATAAGAAAGAGTAGGAAATACTCTGGAATTAATAGGCAGGCAAGAACTTTCTCAATGGAACACCAGCAGCTCAGCAACTAAGAGATAGCATAGATAAATGGGAGCTCATAAAACTAAAAAGCTTCTGCTCAAGAAAAGAAATGATCTCTAAACTGAACAGAACACCCACAGAGTGGGAGAAAATATTGGCCAGCTACACATCAAAGGACTGATAACCAGAATATATAGGGAACTTAAAAAACTAAGTTCTCCCAAAATTAATGAACCAATAAAGAAATGGGCAAGTAAACTAAACAGAACGTTCTCAAAAGAAGAAATTCAAATGGCCAAAAAACACATGAAAAAATGCTCACCACCTCTAGCAATAAAGGAAATGCAAATTAAAACCACACTAAGATTCCACCTCACTCCTGTTAGAATAGCCATCATTAGCAACACCACCAACAGGTGTTGGCGTGGATGTGGGGAAAAAGGAACCCTCTTACACTGCTGTTGGGAATGTAAACTAGTACAACCATTCTGGAAAAAAATTTGGAGGCTTGTTAAAAATCTAAACATTGATCTACCATATGATCCAGCAATACCACTCTTGGGGATATAGCCAAAAGAATGTGACACAGGTTACTCCAGAGTCACCTGCACACCCATGTTTATTGCAGCACTATTCACAATAGCCAACTTATGGAAACAGCCAAGATGCCCCACCACTGATGAATGGATTAAGAAAATGTGGTATTTATACACAATGGAATATTATGCAGCCACGAAGAAGAAAGAAATGTTTATTATTCACAGGTAAATGGATGGAATTGGAGAACATCATTCTGAGTGAGGTTAGCCTGTCCCAAAAGACCAAAAATCATATGTTCTCCCTCATATGCGGACATTAGATCAAGGGCAAACACAACAAGGGGATTGGACTTTGATCACATGATAAAGTGAGAGCACACAAAGGAGGTATGAGGATAGGTAAGACATACAAAAAACTAGATAGCATTTGTTGCCCTCAATGCAGAGAAACTAAAGCAGATACTTAAAAGCAACTGAGGACAATAGGAGAAGGTGACCAGGAACTTGAGAAAAGGTTGGTTCTAGAAGAATTAACTTAGAAGATAACACACATGTACAGGAAAATCAATGCGAGTCAACTCCCTGTACAGCTACCCTTATCTCAACTAGCAAAAACCCTTGGTCCTTCCTATTATTGCTTATACTCTGTCTTCAACAAAATTAGGGATAAGGGCAGAATAGTTTTTTTTTTCTGCAGGGTAGTGAGGGTTAAAGGGGGGTAAGGGAGGAAGTGAAGGGGGTAAGGGTAGGGTGGGGGAAAGGCGGTAAGGGTAGGGTGGGGGAAGGGGGGAGAAATGACCCAAAGATCATTTCTCATGTATGCACATATGAATTAAATAAAAATTTTTTTAAAAAGTCTGGATCTCATAGGGTAAGATAAGTTACATCATCCTTTCCTTCAAGCTGCGAAACAAAGATTAATTCCCTTTTTCATGGTCTGTTTATTATTAGATAAGTTATATGTAAAATGTCTGAAAGCTGCTTAAAATGCATATTGCAATTTATTTTTACAATATTTTCCCTAAGTGTTCTATTGCTCTATACTTACTACTTGGTTGGTCTTCAGTTACCTCCTGTTATTTTGAATGAAATATTAAATTACCTGCAATTACGTCCTTGGGTTCCACCAAGTTCAAATAAACCATCTCTTCCAAAACAGATTCTGTGAATGCACATGTCTGACTTACCTGGGAAGGCAAGTTGCAAAACATCTATTACAATCCTCAAAGTTTCTTTTGCCTTTCAAATAATAAAATTGTTTCTACCCATCTTTATTCACTTTTATTCACCTTGATCTGTTAAACATGCTCCTCTATTATTACCATCAATACATTCTAAACTGAAATAAAATATGTTTTAGCCAATACTCTATACATAAACCCAACATTTCATTCTTTAGGCTAATCTCTATACTTTATGAATACTGACTACAAAATTGCAAAGATTTATTTTCCATAATGAAAGATAGTCCCTGATAAGCTCATCTACTAATTTTTCTCAGAAAAATGGCAAGAATAATAACCTTAATTTTTTTTGTTGGTTTATAGAAGTAGTAGAAGAAACATATTTCAAATGCTTTCACTTTTTGTGTTATTATCAAAATAACACATATTATTTGTTGTGGGTTGAGCCAGTATATTTCTAAAACCCTCAATACCACAAAATGTGACTTCATCTAGAATCTTTACAGAGATGACCCAGTTGAAATGAAGTCACTAGAGTTGGCCCTTATTATTTGCAGATGTCATCGTAACACAAACAAACACACAAGGAGATTGCTGTGTGAACATCAAGACAAATATTAGGATGATGTAATCAACCAAACCAAGGAACACCAAAAATTGCTAACAAACCATCAAAGCCAAGACAGAAATATGGAAAAGGTTTTTTCCTCTCAGCCTCAGAAGAAATCAGCCCTGGGGATGCTTTGATTTTGGACTTCTAATCTTCAGAACTGTGAGACAATAAATTTCTGAAGTCTTTAAAACTGATAGTAACACATTATCTATCTTTCCTTCTTCCTTCCACGCCCAGCCCTGCAGTCCATTTTTCTCTCTCATTTTCCTTTCTTTTGATAGTTTGATATTTTGATATTTTTTCTCCCTTGCACTCCCTTATTTCCTCTTTCTTTTCTTCTCCTTTCTTCCTTTCTTTCCTCTGGGTAGCATGATAAATAATGATAATCCCAACCTTCATGAAGAATCTCAATAAAATAAAGCTAACAACAACAAAAAAACCCTTGAATTTTCCAAGGAAAGTAATCCATTATTCTGAACTTAAATGTAGGAAAAGAAAAAAAAATGCACGAAGAGAAAAGGAAGGATGTTTATAAAATCTGAACTTCTTTTTTCAAAAATCAAGAATACAAATCACCCTGTATTTTTCCTGGAAGAAAAGAGCCTGCTCTGCAGAGATTTAAGGTTGCTATGAGTGTCCATATTTATGGCAGTGTTTGGGAGAAAGCTATCTATCTCTGCCATTTAGCCATGAAGCACTGCAGCCCAGATTACATTTAACCTAAGCTTTTAAGATAGCTAAAAGGATAGGAAGGGCAGCACTGATAGAGAAATTACAAGGGCACCTTAAGGAATACCATGATATGGACGAGACTTTCTGAGAAACATATATAAAAACATATGTGACTGGAAAGGGTACATTTGAAGGTGAATGAAGGCACAGTACATTGCAGAGTGATTAGCTGGCTGCTCTTTCTTAGCTTGAGAGTGGAAACACCCACCTGCCTGAAGGTGACATTGTAATTAGTACTGGGTCATCCTATCCATTTGCTCTTGATGCTCTCTTTCACATCGTAAGCCTAAACAAGGTCACTGAAGTAAAGGAAGCCAGTGTTGATATTCTTACTTGTCTTTCAATTACTGGCTTTTGGACATAGCTGGTATTGAATGGAACATTAACATCACAAATCCCTGTAGATTTTATTTTTGAAATGAATAGTTTAACCAAATGATACATTTCTTTTCTGGCTATCATACTTTGATTGCCCCTAAGACTGGTGCTCAGCTTGTCAGCATTCAGTGCCAGTGGTCTTCCACCAAAGAAGTGGTTACCTTCTCCTGCTCTGTGGCTTCATTATGTTACAAGCAGATCTACAGAGTAAAAACTATTAGTTAATTAATTGTCATGTTTTAGCCTGTAGTGTTCAACATACTATCGCTTTACAGTGTTCATCAGTAATTGTTTAGGTATGGAAGTCAAAACGCTGACAAAAAAAGAACAGTGCAATGATCTTTTTTCTTTCTTTCTTTCTTTCTTTCTTTTTTTTTTTGTCAATACTGGGGTTTGAACTCACTTGCTAGGGAGGGACCCTTACCGCTTGAACCATTTCGCCAGCATGCAATGATCTTAATAAAGAAGCAGTCATACTGTATTACTAAACCAAACTCCCATGGACTTTTTGTATAGAAAATTGTTATATAATTCATCTTTTCCTATGCTGATGGCTATTAATCCGATATATTCAGAAATATGGCAATGATTTAATCATTGATTTTTAATAACTTATTTTAACAAACTCTCAGTTCTAGAAGTTATGCTATGACAACTGTATGCAGCATTCCACTTAGACATACCTGGATTACTTGCCATTAAAATACTAAAAATGCCTCCTTAAAAAAAAACTAAATTTCAAATATAATAGTAAACTGAGTGAGAAAAGAAAGACCATCAGAGAGACTCTAAGAGCTTTCCTATAGAGAGCATTTTCTATTACCAGTCCTGTAGTTGGATTGATTATCATTGCAGAAAAAACTCTGACAGACATGCCATATGTTATGGAACATATGTTCTTAAAACTTGCCCAGAAGGAATTACCATAGGCAGCAAAGTAACCTGTTGTAAAGAGGGGAGTGCTAAGGGTTTATACATGTAAAAGAATATTCCCTCCTTCTTAATATGTATTTTACTGATACATTTTGAAGTATCAAAATGACAGGGTATACTCTGACAGCAGTCTTTGGTAACTAATTCTGTGATGTAATTTGATTTGTAACTTATTATTATTATTTTAATATCTATTGCTGTCTCACAAGAAGATAACAAAGACTAGAAAATGAAAAATGAGGTGTACTGTGAAAATCTAACAAAGTCAAACCACTGACATGGAGATGCAGATCTTGATGTAAAAAACCTGTCTGATTTATCCTTCATGAATAGTGCTGGCATAGAGGGTGTAGGAATTTTAATGTGACAGGACCCCACACATAACCAGCATGTAAAGAAATGAACTTTTGTGGCATATCCACATCTCAGATTGTATTAACCATCTGTGGTGATTCCCATTCTGCTTCAACTAAGACAGCATGATAACCTTAGGTTCTATGAAGAGTAGACTTACTGTGTTTTTACCCATAGTCTGACTTTTTTTTCAGAATCCTGAGTCATGATTCATGCCAGTATATGAAGTATTTTATCAGCCTTTGTTGCATTAGCTAACACACAATGCTTTCAACCCCTTCCCATGATTGCTACCATCATTACCATCTCTTCTCACAAATCCATGCATCACTCTCCTTCTGAAAACTGCTTGTTATTAATAGAAACTTTGCAGTTACCACACAAAATGAAAGGGAGAGAGGACCTAAGGCTGTGTCAGAGAAGCAGGATAAATTCTAGGGAAGTTCATTCTTCCTTCTAAATACTAACCTCACCCATTGTATCTGGATGAACTTTGTGACTAGCTAGATAACCCTAGTCCAAGAGAAAAGAGTCATATACATATATACGTATATATAGTATACAGTTCCAGATGACACGTTGAATAACTATATATAAGAATTACGAATGAAAGGATCAATTACAGCTATTGATTGATAGATATGATAAATGGTTCATTTCCTGTATGAAAGAAAAAGAAAAATGGAGCTGCATGTAACTTGAAAGAATTACTAAATATTAGTAACTGGCATGAAATCCTTAACTAGAATTCATTTGTAACACAACTTTGAAAGTGGAAGTTTGAAGAAGCATGACAAGGAAGAGGAAAAACTTGTCATTTACAAGAAAAGAATGTGATGAAAATTAAAACATGGAAGAAACAGACATAAGAAAACACAAATTCCCAGTAATTCTCTTCAGTTCAATTTGGCAAATACTTAATTGAATAGATGCCAGACACCAAATGTGTTAAGATCTGCAAATAATACAAAAGAGCATAAAAGATTCTTTCTTTCTTCCAGAAGCTAAAAGTACAATGGGACAGTCAGGTACGTAAGTGTCCCTGGTGGGCCAGCTGTGCCAGCATCGTAAGCATTGCATGTCAAAAACCACATACTCCAACAGTGGGGTGACCTAACAGATGTACAATCTAAGCCTGCTTGGAATGAATCCTCCCATTCCCATTAGGACTATGAATATATCCTAATAAATAATTAAAATAAACAAATAAAAGTAAAAACAAAAAAGAGTTGGAGCATAGCTCATGGGGTAAAATACTTGCGTAGCATGCCCAAGGCCCTGGGTTCATTCTCAGTTTCAAAAAATGAGTGAACAAACAAACAAACAAATGGTGTGAACATAAAAGAGGGACGATTTATGGTGGGGAAACGTGGAAAGGGTAGGGGTATAAGAGAGTGGTGGGGATGAATAAGATCAAAGTATATTGTATACATGTCTGAAAATTCATAATGAATCTCATTAATGGTCACAATAAATAAATAAAAATAAAATTAAGTTAAAATGCATACTCCATTTATCAGCCAAAAAAAATGTCAAAATTGGTTTCCATTTAAGGAAAATCAGTACATTTTCTTTCTTCAGTGCAAACACAGATCCTGGTATTTTCTATGTACTCTTTAGTCATAGAACCACTGAGACAAATCATTGTTTATCTAAATTATCCTGATGTTTTCTTATAATTCTTTTCTCTTAGTTTTTTAAAATATTATGAAATTGTATAGGAAAAAAATGTATCTATGCTCTCTTTTTGACCATGAAGTTTTGTCTCCATATTTCAGATTCTAATATAAGTTGTTTAAACTTTTATTCTTTATCTATAATTTGAAAATTTAAATAAGCCAAAGTTTTATTGGTATCTATCACCCTGGTAAAAGAGGAAAGAATGACAAGCATTGTTGTTAAATATTGAAAGAGAGAGAGAGAAATAAAACACCCATAGGAATAATTACACAAAAAAGATGGACTCTCCATGTATAACATAGTAAACTTGAGAAAGATGGATCAAAGAAAAATAGAAATATGTATTGGTACAAAAAGTAAAGCTGGTCAACTGGTACATTGTTTCAGTTAGACAAGAATAATAAGTTCTGGTGCTCCATGGTACAGTAGGGCAAATACAGTTATCAATAATGCAGTGTATGTCTCAAAATTAATATGATGGATCTGCTATTTACCCTGATTTAATCAGTACCTATGTATATACATGAATCAAAATATTGTATTGTACCTCATAAAAGTATGCCAACATTATGTTTCGGTAAAGAAGTAAATTTAATAAAAAAAAGAAAAGGTAACAGTACAGTGGTATAAAGATATGTAAGAGGCATGGCTCCCACGTTGCAACAATGAGAGCTGGCAAAAACAGAAGAATGAGGACTAGGGCATAATCAGACGGAAAGCAGGAAATGGCATGAGTAGGGGTAAAAGAGGTTGTACAGTCTGGTTTCTTTCTATTGGAAAGTCAAGATCTCTTTTTATTTCTCAACATATTTTTGGCTATGAAATAGGAACTGACAATCTTTCAACACTCAAGTCATGAATCAGTGTAACAGGACTACATTCATCTGTTCATCCCACAGGTGATATCTCAATTATAAGGGAATCACGGCTTCATATCAAGAAAGGTTGCTTCAGGGCTGGTGACTTGTAGTGCTCTTTGACCACTGATCATTGGAAAGAAAATATGATTCTAGGTAAACATATGAAGAACACCTGTAATCCTAGCTACTCAAGGAGCAAAAATTGGAAGGATCACATTTCAAGCTCAGCACAAGCAAAAAAGTTAGTCAGACTCTCCTCATCTCAACCATTAATCTGGATGTGCTGTAATCCCAGCTACAAGGGAGGCAAGTAGGAGGCTCAAGACTGGTCCTGAGCAAAAACGTGAGATCCTTTCTGGAATATAATGAAAGTTAAAAGGACAGGAGGCATGTCTCCAGAGGTAGAGTGCTTTCCTAGGAAGTACAATGCTCTGAGTTCAAACCATAGTAGTACCAAGAGAAAGAAGGAAGGAAAGAGGGAGAGAGGAAGGGAGGATGGAAAGAAGGAATAGAGAGAAGGAAGGAAGAGGGAGGAAGGAAGGAAGGAAGGAAGGAAGGAAGGAAGGAAGGAAGGAAGGAAAGAAGGAAGGAAGAAGGAAGGAGGGAGGGAAGGAAGGAGGGAGGAAGGAAGGGAGGGAGGGAGGGAGGAAGAAAGGAAGGAATGATGTTTAGTTATCTGATAATGGACTACAATGAGGAAATAAAACTATAATAGGTGGGACAAACTAGTAAGGGTTGTAAATTCTAGACTGAAGCCATATACTCTGAAAATAATAGCTACAGAAAGTTTTGGAAAGTTCCTGAAATTAGTCTGATAAAAATTACAGACTTTTGAACAGGAAGTACTTCAATAAAGATGCATTAGGCTCAGAGACCATGGACGGCTTTACCAAGGTGAAAGAGTTCAATTTAAGTCACAAGTGCAGTGGGCCACATCTAGAATACACTTAGAATTCCAGGCAATGGAATGGGGGCCTCTGAGGTTACATCAGTGCAAATTGAAATAAAAATTATGCAAAATTAGTAGATAAGCCTAAAGATCTGAACTTCCTACATTTATAGACACCTACTGCAATGAATGCCAGTAGAAGTCATGCAATCCACAAAATGTGCATTTGCAAATCATCCCAAAAGTGTTGTTTTGAATATGAAATGCCCCGCAGGCTTATATGTTGAATACTTGTGGCACTGTTTTGGGAAGTTTCAGAAACATTAGAAGAAGGGGTCAAGTTGGAGGATGTAGGTCTTTGGGAACATGCTTCTGTAGAGTTACCTTGTCCATAGTAATTTCCTCCTTCTCTGCTTCCTGTTGCCCAGGGGGTAAACAGCCTCTTCCTTCCCATGTTCCCGCTGCCATGAGGTCCTGGTCAAGGACATGGGGCCAAGGAACCATCAACACTGTGAGCTAAAAAAGTCCATTCTCCCTTAGGTTGTTCTCTCAGGTATTTTGTTTATACCAACCTAAAAGTAACTAACACACATTTGTCTTCACCCACCTCCTTCTAGAGTGACCAATATTCTAATAAAGATATCTACCTTGTTTCTCACATTTACTATGCACAAGTATCTACTCTATGCACACACCACATATGAATTTATTCCTCACAAC